ATTACAACTAAGATTAAGATAATTCTTTTTAAGACGAATCCTAATAGTAAAAAGACAAAAATTCTCAGTAATGTATAACTTACAAGATGGGAACATTCCATTGCTCATTTATGTTTAATTTTATTGAAGCATAAAAGAAAAATGTAATTTGCATACAGAACTGTGTGACATCCATGTATACTAAATGGAAACATATTGACCGATGTATTTATTAAATAATTAGGTAACTCGTGCTTTTTAAATACTTTCTTTTATGCAGAAATCTTTGGTAAATTGTCAAGTAGGTGTTGAGTACATTACCAATAACTGGCAAATTGTTTATAGTTTTGGATAGAATGGAAATTATTTTTTCTACTATATTAAATAACTAAGTAACTGAATGGGTACCACTTTACCAAAAGTTAACCACACATAAAGAAAGATATCTCTGTATATATTGAAATTCACATAGGTAAAAAAAAAAAAATATTAAAAAAAATGAAACAAAAGTAAGCTAGGGATCGCTTCTCAGGAAGAAAAAAAGTGAAAGGATAGGACTTGGAAACATCTCCATTAATTATAATACACAAGCTGCAGAAAAATGCATGTTTACTAAAAACAAAAGCATATCACATTTTCACCTACATAATCACATGAAAAGATGATATACACTAAACTGTTGTGAAGTGTTTCCTATTCTTTATTTTTCTTAAATTTTGCAATGCCTATCTATAACTTCTGTGATTTAAAAAAAATAAATAAAAATGAAATAAAAATCTTAATGACAGGGCCTCCCCAGTGGCACAGCAGGTTGAGCGTAGTGCTGTGAGGCTGTCCGCAGCCTCCACATCGCCAGTTTGATTCCAGGCCTGCCAAGGAGATTCCCACATTGCTTGGCAGACTTCTGTTGCGCCCGCTGCTCCCCTCAGCAGTGTATTTCAGTCCTTCTGCCTGTTCTGCTCCCTGCTCTGTCTCTGGTGGATTCTCTCACCCTCCTGAGCCTCTGGCTTGTACCCCAGTGCTTGTATAAATAAATAAACCTTTAAAAAAAAAATCTTAATGATAAAGACAGGAAGGAGGAAATGGCAATACAATCACTGCTACAGTTCTCTGACATTCATTGTTCCACAAAGTTAAAGGCATTTGAGATTGTGAGGTATGCTTTAGGATCCCAGAATGGGGTACATTAGAACCAGTTCTTAGATATTGAACTAGCAGCACATGATGTGATCAATGACCTCATAAATGAGTTTCATTCAGAGTAACATCTAAAAATCTTGGGAAATATCAGTAACCTATAAGCCAGCACAGTGTAATTTCTTCTTTTCACGTCTTTCATCTTATTTAGCTTACTGAAAAAACATGCAATGAATACCTACTATGTACCTGACCATTCTAGATACTGGCAGTACCAAAATAAACAAACATGGCTCCACTTTTCACAAATCTTGTAACATACAGTACCAATGACCAATTTTCTGAGATGATAGAAACATTCTATATGTGCACTGCTCGCAACAGTAGCATTAACAGCATTTAGCTGTGTTAACATTTGAAATGTTGCTAACATGGCTGAGTAAAATTTTTGTGCAATTTAAATGAACTCAAATTTAAATAGCAACTATGGTAGTGCCCACAGTACTGGACAACTAAGGTCTATAGGAAGATAAGGACAAATAGACTACAATGTATTACAGTAAACACTGAACTAGAAGAAGCACTAATCCCATTGGAGAATGGCTTCTGAAAAAAACTGATACCAAATTTTTGAAGCATGTGAAGATGAGGCATTACATGAAGGTAAAACAAGTAAAGGTTTGACAGTGTAAATGAAAGTGCAAGGTAGAGATGAAAGACAATTTTTGTATTCATTCAATTTTTGAATGAAAGAAATGAGCAGAGTGAGTCACAGGAGAGACTGGAAAGGTAAAAGTCACAATATGGGTAACACTATGTTTAGGAGCTTGGCTTTATTATGTAAGAGAGGGGAAATCAGTTAAATTGGTAATTAACACATATAAACATTAAGTTAGAGGAAGATAGGAAAAGTCTAGCAAAATATTAGAGTTATTACATTCTTTGGAAAAAGTCTGACAATCTTTCCATACAAGAATGAACTAAATAAATTATCTTACCTGAACATAAATGTATCAGTCTCTCTATGCAAATAACTTTCAACTACTCTATTCAAACTCCAAAATTTTAATCGGGCTTAAATTTATAGTTAAGAAATAATACAAAGTAGATATGAGTAAACAATCAATACTTTTCCCTAAATACCCATTTGAAGGCCCTTAGTTTTTAGCACAAAATTGAGGGAAAGTACCATGCTAAACTAAATTCCTAAGGCTTTGGCGGGCAAACGGAAATAAGAATAGGAGAAACTTTATCATTCTTAATAAACTCTGGAATTTATTAGTCTGCCTATTAAGATATTTAAATATCACTGGAAGACATCAAGTACCTTCCATAAAAGTCTTCACAAAGAAAAATGAAAATGAGTATGAACATGGGTACAAAGAAATCCCACTTTACCCATGCAAAACAATAAATAAAATTTCTCCAACATGGAATCTTTAAAAATCCAAACATCTTCATCTCAGCATAGAACCTCTTATCTCTACCGAAATAATTATGACTTATTTACTATTACTCTGAATTTCCCCTATGCTCATAATATAGTCTTCATAATACCACACAGGAAATTAAATTTTTAAATGTGTATTTTTCAGAAGAGGCTTCAAAAATAAAATGTCACAACGGAGATTTAAACAACTGTTTCCAAGAATATTTCACTAATAACAAAATGGGAAACAGAAAATATTTTCAGGCAGAAAAACCTTAGCCAAGAGCGCATTTTCCAGGTAGGCTCAAAAATCCAGAGTGTAAATAATGTGGCTAAAACAAGCAATATTTTTAGAGTACAATGAGCAAAAATTGGATATCTCTTCATGTGTAAGATATAATCTTACTTTATTCCTTTCTCAAGGGCAAATCTTGGAATTCTCTATTATGATTCCATGAAATTAGCTTTACTGCATAATCAAAGTTCCATATGTAATACTTTGCAAACTGGATTCCCAGCACTGAAAAGTCACATCACTAGAATCACAATGTTCTTAAAATAATTTAGCAGAAACTATTAAAAGATGCAACAGTGTAAATAGTGTGATTAATTAAAATTTTATGAGTCAAGGTAGCTGGAAGTGGTTGTAAAGCAGGAAGAGCTATCGAGCAACTATAAATAATTAGCAAAGGCCATATTGGTCACACCTATGAGAACAACTCATAACAGAAAGAGTAAAGGTAGAATTAGTTTAGCACAGCCATTCTGTCAATTTAAAATCATAAAGATCTGGCAAAAAACTTCACACACCCAGTTAGGTGAAATCTAGAAAGGTTAAATATGACACTGTATTTATTAGGGACAGTGCCCAAAGTAGAACCTAAGTCTTATAATCAAAGGCTCTTTGCTATTATCACCATGAGGACCTACTGATAATTTTCTCTACTGTTCACTTTTTCAAGTTGAGGGGAACAAATTAACTGGGCTAAAAAAAAACGACCAGTAAATAAACTGTTGTTATCACACTAGATGTCTGCACATTCTAGAGGAAATGAAATTGGTGGGTGGAAGGGGTAGAGGGAGGTTGGGGAAATATCTGTGTAAGAAATGTACAACTCATTCTTTTTTTTTTTAAAGATTTATTTTTTTATTTATGCATACAAGAACTGGGGTACAGGCCAGAGGTGTGGGGGGTGAGAGGATTCACCAGAGACAGAGTGGGGAACAGAACAGGTAGATTGACTGAAGTACACTGCTGAGGGGAGCAGCGGGCAAGTCAGGAGAGGTCTGCTGCGCCATGTGGGTTGCTCCCTGGCTAGCCAGGCATCAAACTTGTGCTGCAGTGGCTGCAGATTGCTTCATAGGTTGCTTCTTAACCCTTGCGCCTCCAGGGAGACCCTACAACTTATTCTTATTTGAGCTTTGAACTATTCTGTATAATGAAACACTATAAAATTTGACAATGGATAGTATCAAAAGAATAAAGCTGATTTTATTTTGAAAAAAATAAACTAACAGGTTATATTTTAAAAATCAGATTTTAAAAATCACTGTTTAACAGATTTTAAAAATCACTGTTTTATGATACTATCTTTAAAATTCACTTATTTTAAAAGCTTAGAAAGAATAGTATACTTCAACCACCCTTTCGGTATCCCTGCACACTACAAAGAGGGTGGAATATTATTAACCAACTTAATAAATGAAAAAACAATCTAGCATTATAAGGTCAGCAAACAAATTCAAAAGAATTGGGATGTCTGGGATTTTCATTTCTTTCTTTTTTTTTTAAAGATTTATTTATTTATACAAGCACTGGGTACAGTCAGAAGTGCAAGAGGGTGAGAGAATTCACCAGAGCCAGAGCGGGGAACAGAACAGGCAGACTGACGAAATAACACTGCTGAGGGGAGCAGCGGGCATAGCAGGAGAAGTCTGTCGTGCCATGCAGGACCCTCGCCAGCAGCCAGGGATCGAACCGGTGCTGCAGAGGCTGCGGGCAGCTTTGCAGCCCAACGCTCAACCACTGCGCCACCAGGGGAGACCCTGGGATTTTTATTTCTATTTCTTCTATACTCTATCCAATTTTGCCTACATTTCTATGATGTTCTATTACCCTGAATATAGTCTGAAAAACTTAGGGTTAATATTCCAGGACTCATATGTATTAAAGTAACCAAAACTTTGTTGTACAGACTCCTAGCTCTGAATCCAACCATGAAGTCATAAATTTATGTTTTGACACTAAAAGAGTATGTGTTATAAACATTTCAAATTTCGAAAAATATTCCCCATTTTTCAAATGTTCAACCCAATACATGAATTAAAATTATACTCAAAATTTTCAAACTGAGCTGTATCCAATCTGCTAATTCCAGTTAAACCCAACTTATCAAATGGCTGAATGTAGTTGTATGACTAATAGAGGAAAAAAGGGGAAAAAAATGAATCTTACCTGGTAGTTTCTTTTCTCAGATAATGTATGTCCATCAGTCCTCACCATAGAGTCGTGTCCTTTCCTCACAGTACTGGAGGCAATCAAATAGAACTGTCACTCAAGGGTCGTGTCACAGGAAGGACCGCCCACCAGTTCTCCCTCTAGATGGAATTATCCAAAAGCCATCAAAATTACTAACATGTAAATAAATGAACAACAGCAAAAATATCCAATATGATACATATAGAAAATAAAAATAACTTATATTGCTAAGTGATCTCCCTCTTAACCATCTAGGAAGAGCTAGGCCAGCAGACACACTTCATGTGAGATATAGAAATTATTAAATATTAAAAACTCTTTCTTCCCACACTTCTATTCTTTCCAATTAAGAACGTCACCCAGACCTCATACACAAGGAAGAGATGTAAACTGAATAAAAATTGAGCGGGCAAAAAAGTTCAACCCTCAATGGACGTATTTTTTTAAAACAATATTCTTCTGTTACTCTCAAGAATAACGGTATTAGTTCAGATTCAATCACGCGCTTCCAAATGCTTGTTTTTTCACCCTGTTTATGAGGTTTATTCCTATACCATAAGATGAAACAGCACATATTTTAGCAAATCTAATTCAATATGCTATTAAAATTTACTCCAGTAAAGAGCAACAAAGGTCAATATTCCAGATGCCTTGTCTATCTTCTAATTTCATGTATGCTCTAATGGAATTTTCCATTTTCCATTAGGGCAAAAATAGAAGTTCAAAAAGTGACTAGGCACCATGCACAAAAACATCATTGAAGCAGAGGTGATAGTCACCAAACAAGTTGACTCAAAAATTAAAGTAAAAAACTACAGTTCGGGCCTCCCCGGTGGCGCAGCGGTTGAGCGCTGGGTTGCGAAGCTGTCCGCAGCCTCGGCGGCGCCGGTTTGATCCCCGGCTGCTCCCCGGCCACCGAAGGAGGGTCCCACATGGCGCGCAGACCTCTCCTGCCGCCCGCTGCTCCCCTCAGCAGTGTACTTCGGTCCTTCTGCCTGCTCTGCTCCCCGCTCTGGCTCTGGTGAATTCTCTCACCCTCCCGCGCTTCTGACTGTGCCCAGTGCTTGTATAAATAAATAAATAAATAAATCTTTTAAAAAAAAAAAAAAAAAAAAAAAACTACAGTTCAAAAATTCAAAATTGCTATCTACAAAGAATTTGTAAGTACACATTTTCAAGAATAAGGTCTCTCATCTAAGTTTAAGCAAAAATATTTACCCAAGGGAAGTAGTAAGATACACATTAATAGTTGCTAACCACTAAAAATTACATTCAACTACAACAATTATTCAACATATGAAATCTGCTTTGGAAGAATAAAAACATCTAGTTCAAATCATAAAACATATAAATCAATTTTATTAAAACTAACAAGCACAGACTTACACATACTATATGGATTATCGCTAAAAAAGCAACCTAATAAAGGCAGAAAACATTTTCAGGGACACAAATAATTAAAAATTAATTATTATTAGATTTAAGTTTTAAAAACCTACATGATGAAAACCAATATTCTGGTTCTTGTTTTATGTTTGATCACAAAATAAGTGGGTGCTATTTAACTGATTAAAATTTGACCATCTTACATTGTATATATTTAGCTGACATATTTCAAAATGTCTGGCTCTACATCAAAAATGTAAGTACTCTTTACCATATGTAAGTGCACCATTGGAAATAAATTCTCTCTTGAAAATAACAAAGGAAAAGGGTCTTTAATTATACATATATTTACTGCTATAAATATAATCATTACCATCTACCAAGGAATTAGGTTATTGATAAGGAAAAATTACCAAGCAAATGAGAAGTCCAAGAATAGTTAAGTGACACACATTCAGCTCCAACTTAAATTTTCATTGCCACAAAATGAGAGCAAAACTATTTTATTATGCATCCCCCAAATACTATCCCTGTTCCTGTATGATATTTGATAATATTAACAGGTTTTAAAAGAACACTGTGCTTATTGTGAATGTATTATGGTAGTTTGAATTCAAAGGATAATAGTACAAAATTTCAGTTTCTTTTTATAAAGTAAATGTTTTCCTTTTTAAATAAGGTATGTTTGAATTAAAGTCCACGCAGTACCTTCAAATTATACTAGTTTTGTTAAAAGATATAATAGAAACCTAAAACAGGTAAGGCAATTTTCAATAGCATACTCTAATTATACAAGTAATTAGGACTTTATATCCTAACTACTTTAATTAAAGATAAAAATTAACAATTCAATCTGCAAATTTACCAAATAGAAGAAAAATATTAACTTTTGGAGCACTATGGAGAAACTAACATTTGTTGGGTTGTTTTGTTTCTCTCTTGAGATAACTTCACATATTTCATGGCTTGGGGTTTAAATTAATAGCCACTATCCACATTAATAATATAGGAACCAATATTCTTTTTTTTTTTTTAAAGATTTTGTTTATTTATGCATACAAGAGCTGGGGTACAGGCCAGAGGTGTGGGTGGTGAGAAAATTCACCAGAAACAGAGTGGGGAACAGAACAGGCAGATTGACCAAAGTGCACTGTTGAGGGGAGCAGCGGGCGAGACAGGAGAGTTCTGCTGTGCCATGTGGGTTGCTCCCTAGCCGGCTGGGGGATCAAATTCGTGCTGCAGAGGCTGTGGACAGCTTCATAGGTTGTGTCTTAACCCCTTGCGCCACCAGGGAGGTGCCTAGGAACCAATATTCTATTCTGAACAATTACTGAGACTCATTATCTCCTTAGTAAACAAAAGTTTAAAAAGACTGCTAGCACTATTTTCTCCTGAGTATACAGGAAAATCTAGTATTTGTCACCACTATTGAGTATTTTTCAAAAGCTCAGTAATAAATTGTGCTGATTATTTGTTATATCAATTAAACAATGCACAACAGATGAAAATAAGTTTGAGTGTATATGTGAGACAGAGTATGTGAAAAGGAGCAAGTATGAAAGAGAACACCTACTTGAGTTCCCTAAATTCACCATTGGTTAGAAACTGGTTTTCTCATAAAAATCCTACAAATTTCAAAATGTGAAAAGGAACATGCAAAACTACAATGAAATTTTCTATACGGTAGGGAGGTTTTATGTTTTCCACAATGGAAAAAGAGACTAAGTTTACTCTCCTACTTTATTTAAATAACCAGAAAAACAGATAAATTTCGTGAAACAATGATTTTCAGACACTGGATGTCATCTCAGAATAAAGAAAAAGAGAACAATGAAGTAAGTCCAGTTGCCTGCCTGGTAATGAAGGTAAAACATCAGGGTTGGAGGGCACACAGGAAAAGTTCAAAGTTAGGGGCTAGTTCAAGGCTGCTAGAAATTGAAAGGCAAATGGAAAGAAGGAAGCTACCACAGACAGAGTGATCTGAAGCAAGATACAGTGATCTGAAGCAAGATTCCCCTCAGAGTTTTCGCTGAATAATGATCCATGCATGCATGTGAAAAAACTAATAGTCTGGAGGAAAAGTCTGTGAAAAGTAGAACAGTCTCTACAGCTCATGTTCCCATCAACTAAAGGAGGACTTCTGAATACATGGGGCACTGATTAGAGTTCAGAAGGTAACGAATGCCTTGATAACAAAATCAAATAAGCTTTAGAATAAAGGATGTTCTAGACCAGCACTATAACAAAGCTTAAAATCAAATGTCAAAAGAATCAAGTTGATTTGAAAACAACTGTATCCTAAAAAAAGCCCCGCAATGTTTAAAATAATACAACAAATTCCAGCATTAAAAATGTAAAATTAAAAATCAATATCCAATTAAAAAATAACAGCCATGCTATGGAGAAAATACAACCAATAATAAGGTAAAATGTAATAAATAAAAACAGACCCTGCCATGATAAAGAGATGACAGAATTAGTAGACTTAGATGACAGAATTAGTAGAATTAGCAGGGATTAAAACAGGTATTGCAAATAAATACATATTCAAGAACATAAAGAAAAATATGAGCATGATAACAAATGCAAAGCATTGAAAAGAATGCTACAATGGCAGCACAAAGAAATTTCTTTATGGTGACAGAAAAATTTTTTCTTGTGTGTGGTGGTAGTTATGTGACTCTATCTTATACACGATAAACTATCACAGAATGATAAAGATACAAAAAGGTGAATGTATGCAAAAATTATGAAATATGAATTCAATTTGTAGTGTAACTAGTTACAGTATGGCAATTTGTCATGTTGATAATGCAGCAAAGTTAAAGATGAGATCATTAGAAGATGACAGGTCATAGGCACTTGGGACCTCCCTGGATTACTTCAGCATCTTCCTACGAGTTTCTAATCTTAAAAGTGGAAAGTTTTTTTTAAAGGCTCAAATTCATCTTCTAGATATAAAAATTCAATACACGTAACTAAACAGGCATTGGAGAGGATGAGCAGCAAATTAAATGCTTCAAAAGTTTAGTGAGCTTGAAGACATAAGGAAAAAAAAAATCCAGAATTAAAAAGTGAGAAACAGGATTAGCCAAAAAATAAGTGTTGTGGGGGAACTGTGAGGCATTATCAAGCAGCCTTACAGAAAGAGTGGAAGAGAGTGGAGAACAGAAAACAATAGTCAATTTGTCCCTAAATCTGATCAGAACTATAAATTCACAGATCCAAGAACTACAACAACCTGTAAGGAGAACAAAAAATACACCACATGGTAGCATTTTCTGAAAAACACTGATAGAAAAACCTTAAAGCACTTGGGAGTGGGGGTGGGGAGATATAGAGAAACACAGGACTGACAGACGACTTCTCATTCGAAACAATGCAAATAAGAGGACAGTGGATCAACATTTTTAAACTAAAGGAAGAAAAAAATAGCAAAAAATTCAGCAAAAAATTCTAAGCCCAGCAAATTTATCTTTAAAAATGGAAAGCAAATACAGCTACTATGGAAGGGTTTGGCAGTTTCTTATAAAGTTAAACAGAGATTTAACATACAATCCAGTAACTGTGACCCTACGTATTTATCAAAATGAACTAAAAACGTACGCTTATACCAATACCAAAACTTGAATGTTTACACCAATGAAGATGTCCTGTAATAGGTGAATAGATAAAAACAGCGGTACATCTATTCAACAATAAATAAAGAGTATAAGCTACTATTTCATACAACATGGATGAATCTTAAGTGCACTTTGCTAAGGGAGTATATCCAGACCAAAAAGGCTATATTCATTGAATGATTCCATTCAGATGACATTCTGCAAAGGCAAAACTACAGGGATATAAAGTAGAGACTGGAGAGGGGGTAGAGAAAGTACTTGACTATAAAGGGAGCACACAGGGAAACTTTTAAAGCAATAGAATTATTCCATATGATACTGGAGTGGTGGAAACATGACACTATCCATATGTTAAGATCCACAGAACTAGGTAATATAAGTAAATCTGATCGCATGCATCTTTGGAAAAATAAACCAGGTTAGAAATGCAGACCTGATAAAAGAATGTAGCCACACTGAAGGAGGTTGGGGAAATGGTGCTGACCTAAGTAACTTTGGAAAATGGTACTTTCACAGGAAACTGTTAAGAGAAAAAACTACACAAATACTGCATTCTAGCTGGTAAAGTGATTCCTCATAGGGCTATGGCTGAAAAGTTGTGAAACTGGAGAGAAATAATGAAGTAAAACAGACAGCTGTTAGTAGGAAGCAGGTTTTCACTTTCAGAGAGGAAGTTCCAAATAAGCAAAGCAGGCAGGCTAGACTGAATTATAAAGTACTAGATTAGAGTAACAGACATCACTATTGGTATTTACTCAATTATAAAACACTTTAAATACAGTAATCATGCAGGTTGTTAAAGAATAAGTCATTTGACTGATGAGTTATATGTCGCCTGAAAATAAATTAAGTCAATAAAATACTAAGTGATTAACAAGTACATCAAAATTCTATTTTAAGAGATGTAGGCAAAATTAATCTTGAAGTCTCCAGATTTTAATGAATATTTGCAAATAATTAAATATGCTTATTTTTAATCTTTTAAACTGATACAGAATTAAATTTCAAGAATGCAAAGTAACTCATATATTATTAGGATCTACTCATGTGCAGTAATTTCTCAAACTTAACATACTTTTGGAATAAATTACTGCATACACTGTACAAATGATAAAGAATACACATTTCACACCTTTTTTTATGGGTTAAAAAACCCTTAAATTTATCAGGTTTTCAGTTTAAAAGACAATAGGACGTCAGTAAGAGGAAAATACAAACCAAATCTTCATATAAGAAAAAAGCTAGTAAGATTATCCACCTTAGGTGTTTCCCTGAGTCAAAACCTAAGAAAAATTAGTGCATAATATTACCTAGAACAAATGCTAACTCAACCCCAACTTTACTCCTTTCACAAAGTATTTCATTGGGTAGGGGAAATAACTTCTCTCTCCAAATTCTAATAAATTTTGAATGTCACATTGTCACACACAAAAAAAGTACCTTGAATGGAATAAGAATAGAATATCTGAATTCTAGTATTGGCTTGATCAATTTCTCCCCCCTGTTTCCTAATCTGTACAATAAAGTGACTAATTTAGATGAATTTTTTAAAAATTTGTGCAGCTCCAAAATTTTGTATCTTCAATATTCTATGTCAAGACACGCCACTCCTTCTAGGAAAGCAAACAATTACAGTTGTTTTTTCCATCTTTTCTTTTTTCTTCCACTTTATTATTTAATAGTACTTTAACAATGCCCCAATATTTTGGAGTTCAGGAATGGTATCTAAAGTATCTATAATATGTTAATCACTACCACACTGAACTAAAATGTGAATTTGGTCAAGTTAAGGCAGTTAAGGCAATTGAGCCTGGGCCTCCCTGGTGGCGCAAGGGGTTAAGCACCGCACTATGAAGCAATTGCAGCCTCTGCAGCAGGAGTTCAATCCCCAGCCAGGGAGCAACCCACATGGCGCAGCAGACCTCTCCTGACTCGCCCGCTGCTCCCCTCAGAAGTGTGTGTTTCAGTCTATCTGCCTGTTCTGTTCCCCACTCTGTCTCTGGTGAATCCTCTCACCCCCCACATCTGTGGCCTGTACCCCAGCTCTTGTATGCATAAATAAGTAAATCTTTAAAAAAAGAAGACGACGACGACAGTTAAGCCAGTTGGAAAAGTTTTATTTTTCAGTACAGAGGACATTATAATCCAGGATGATTAATAAGAACAGATTATCAGATGTGACCAATAAAAGCTGAATTGCACTTAGCCATTATCTTTAAAATTTTGTGTTTCTTACCTAGAACTACGTCAAGCAAGTTTTCTTATTAAAAGGAAGACTATTTCCAAAAATGTCTTTAAGAACTTATCTCTTGAACTTTTAATTTGATCACATAGAAAAATGTTTTCAAATTTCTGAGTTGATGACATGATACATATTAAGAAATGAAGGCAAATGAAGCAAACAAGTAAAACTCAAGAATTTCAATGTCATAGCACACTCAAACTGGGAAAACAAAAAACAGTTTTTGGGAATATATTTAAAATATAGGTTTCATGGCTCCATAATTAACATGGCAAAATTGAAAGTTGCCTAGATTTACAAAGAAAATTTTAAAAAATCAACTCTATCCTCTTGAAATCAATTTGCTCTCATTATGATTTAATGTTTTGTTAACCATGTTAAGTTTTCTATACTGGCAGTCCTATTGATGCACTGATTCTAACATAGTTACAAGTGTAGTTCTTTCACATAAATTTCAAGGCTTCTAAGCATTTGATACATAGAACTTATAATAAGTAGAAAATCAGTAAAACTATCAGTCTAAAAGACCAACAACAGGACAGGAATTTTCTACTGCTGAAGCTTAAAAGTGCCAAATAAAATGAAATGTTAAAAGTCCTATTAAACCTAAATGACAGGGCTTCCCTGGTGTCAGAAGGGGTTAAAACTCAGCACTATGAAGATATCCACAGCCACAGCATCCCCGGCCAGGGAGGTGACCCACATGATTTAGCAGACCTCTCCTGTCTTGTCTGCTGCTCCCCTCAGCAGTGTATTTCAGTGTATCTGCCTGTTCTGCACCCCATTCTGTCTTTGGTGAATCCCTCACTCCCTTCCCCCGTACCTCTGGATTGCACCCCAGCTCTTGTATGCATAAATAAATAAATCTTAAAAAAAAACCTAAATGACAAAATTCAGTAATTTCTGAAGCAGAGGCTTGAAAAATCAAAAGTTCCTCCATTGTTTGAGGCTTCAATGAAACAGGTCCAAAATTAAGACAACTGGGGTGCTTTCTAATCTTCCTGTTGCATGAAAATGACACTCATAAGGTGCTTAACCTCTTTGTGACAGTTTCCTCATATGAAGAAAATAACATCTACACAGTCTAGTTAATAGCTATGATGGAACGTTATGAATTAGATTCATAATACATAAATTCTTACTTAAATAAAAAGCTGAGGGCCTCCTTGTGGCGCAAGGGGATAAGCACAGCACTGTGAAGCTACCTGCAGCCCCTGCCGCACAAGTTCAATCCCCGGCCGGCCAGGGGGCTACCCACATGGTGGCCAGAGAGCTACTCACATGGTACAGCAGATCTCTCCTGTCTCTTCCGCTGCTCCCCTCAGCAGTCTGCCTGTTCTGTTCCCCACTGTCTCTGATGAATCCTTTCACCCCCTGCACCATTGGCCTGTACCCCAGTTCTTGTATGCATAAATAAATAAATCTTCAAAAAAATAAATTAAGTTGACTTGGTATTAATTACAACAGACCGTAAGATGTGAATGCAGAAATATAAAACGAAGTATTTACTAATTTTCTGCAAGTTTACTGTTAAAGTATTAGAATAATGAAATGCTCTAGGACCTTTCATAACAATTCACTAAAAATCTACAAGGGTTTGGAAATATCTAAGCAGTTACTGCTAAAATAAGAGCTAGTACTATTATCTCGCAATTTACTGTGGAAAGGACACACTGGCTCCATTAAATCAACAAGGGAATTTAAGTTATAATCTATGTGTAAAACTCCTTAAAATATGTAATAGTTCTCTTCTTTGTCTCATGCAGTGGATGTAAGGTTATTATTATATATTACATTTTATATGAGCAACTGACATACTGCATGCAAAGAAAAATATGAAAATTGTAGTTTTAACACTAACAATTTCATAAGTAATATATTTTTTCCTAATACTAATTATATAAGTTGCTGACTCTACTGACAGGTGATAGCAAAAACTGATTAGTTTATATCATCTGCTTAGACTTAACAAATGCATAACAACTAATTAGGATAACCAAATTATCTCAGAAAAAAAGATAATGGGGAAAATTATGTGACTTATTATAATTAAAAAATGTACTTTAAACACAAATCTAATATATCAATTATATATTAAAGTGTATTTTTAAACCTGAAAACGGTTTTCCTAGTTTTCATAACAAAAAATATTAAAGCTTAAAAAGCACAAAAGCATACTTATAGCTATCCATAAAAATGAGGTAACATACCAGTTGATAAATACAAAGTAGACATTATCCCAACCCCTAAAATGTATATAAAACAAAAGGAGTAAACAGTACTCTTTCTTGTGCAATGAACAAGGGAATATAGCCAGAGATACTTTGCAAAACACTTCACATGACAGCCTATGGCAGGATGATAGAGAAGAGGAAGAAGGCAAATTTACAGAGAACAGGAACTGGCTAAAGGATTTACCTTAGTATTATCACAAGCTGCACATCAGAATCACCTAGGGGTTTTTTGTTTGCTTTTTAAATAAACCAGTGGTGCTCACTTCAGAAACACATATACTAAAGTTAAACTGAGTCAAAGAAGATTAGCATGGCCCCTTGTGTAAGGATGACAAGCAACTTCATGAATTTTCCATAATTTTCAGGAAGAACTAGAAAACCTGAACAAACCAGTAACAGGAAATTAAAACCATAACCAAGTCTCCCAAAAAACAAAAGCCCAGGCCTAGATGGTTTCACTATTGAGTTCTACCAAACTTCCAAAGAAGAATACCTATCCTTCTCAAACTCTTCCAAAGGGGTGTATCCAAACAAATTCTTTGAGGCCAAGATAACGCTTATATTAAAACATGACAAAGAATTAACAAAGGAAAAAAAATTGCAGACCAAGATCCCTGGTAAACATTGGATGCAAAAATCAACAAAATCTTAGCAAACTTTATTCAACAATACATCAAAAGGGCCATACATCATAACCAAGAGAGATTTAGTCAAGGGACACAGGGATGGTTCAACCTCCAAAAAAAATCAGTGTAATTCACCACACATCATAAAAGATAAAAATCATATGATCATATCAATAGACATAGAGAAAGCTTTTGACAGATTTCAGCATCCATTTATTATAATGCTCAAAAAACAGGGGATTTGGGGTTGGATGCAATATACCCCAATATAATAAAGGCCATCCATAACAAACCCACAGGCAAAATGTCTCAATGGTGAAAGATAGAAAAAGTGTTTGCTCTAAGATTAGTCCAAGATAAGGATGACCATTTTCACCACTACTGTTCAATATAGCATTGAAGTCTTTGCTAAAGCAGTCAGGTAAGAGAAAAGTATAAAAAGGAACCCAAATTGGATAAGAAGTAAAACTATCACTATTTGCAGTAAAACTATCACGATCTGTACATGGCATATTATATATTGAAAACCCTAAAGAATCCACTAAAAACAAATTGAAATAATATATCACTACACTAATGTGGCAGAATACAAAACCAATTTACAAAATCGAACATATGCAAACAATGAGCTACAAGATCAAAAAATCAAGGAAAGAACCTCACTCGTAACTGCAACAAAAAGAATACTTACTAGTATAACTTTAAAAAAATAAAAAACCTAAAATATTGTAGAAAAAAAATATAAGACACAAAAAAATACAAAGATATTCTCCACTTAGGAATTTTGAGAATTAACATTACTAAAATAGCCATCTTATACAAAGACTAGATGCAATCCCTATCAAAGCACCAATGGCATTCTTCAGAGAAGTAAAACATACATTACTGAAATTCACATAGAAGCACAAAAGATCCCCAAAAACAAAAAAAAAAATTTTAATTTCTTACATCATTGTTCATTTTTGTATGATATTTGATTTCTCCCTTCAGCTGTAATCCCCATAAATCTCGCACTACCACCTCACCATCATGATAGTCCCTTGTACCCTTCCCTTCCCTGTCCAAAATAATCTTAACAAAAAAAGAATAAATATGGTGACATCACATGCCTAGACTTCAAACTATACTACAAAGCTATATTAATCAAAACAGTATAGCACCAAAACTAGACACACAAACCAAAAGAATTAAGTAGCCTAGAAATAAACCTGCATCTCTGTGAACAGTTAACCTATGCTAAAGAGTGAAGAGCATGCATTGGAGAAAGGAGTGTCTTCAAGAAATGGTGTTGGCAAAACTGGATGGCAACAGGCAAGAAAATGAAATTAGATCACTATCTCAAAACCTACACAAAAATTAACTCAATATGGATTAAAAATGTGAACCAAAGACCCCACATCACAAAATACATTAAAGAAAACCAGCAAAACACTCCATGACATTGGCTTCAGGGATCTTTGTGGACTCGTCTCCAACAGGAAGAGAAACAAAAGTAAATATAAACAAATGGGACTAAATCAAACTAAAGTTTCTGTAGGGCTAAATAAACTCAGCAAAACAAAGACAATCTACTGAATGGGAGAAAATATTGACACATCATACATCTAACAAAAAGCTGATAGTCAAGATATATTAAAAAAATTCATGCAACTAACAATAAGAATAATAACCAATCAAAACACAGACAGAAGAGTTAAACACTCCTCCCATGGTCAACAAGCACATGAAAAAAATACTCATCACCGCGTATCATCAGAGAAATGTAAATCAAAACCACAAGGAAATACCATCACATACTGGTGAGAATGGCACTTATCAAAAAGTCTGGGGAAAAACAGGTACTGGAGAGGATGTGGAGAAAAAGAACCCTCATACATTGTTGGTGATAATGTAGACAGATAATGCCCCTAATGCAAGACACGAAGATTTCTCAAAATATTAAAAATAGATCTATCTTATGATTCAGCAATTCCACTCCTACTTATCTACCCAAAGAATGCAAAAGCACTAATTTGAAGGGGTATATGTACTCCCATGTTCACTGTAGCACTATTTACAGTAGCCAAGTTATGGAGACAACCTAAGTGCCCAAGGACAGAGGAGTGATTACAGAAATGTGTAGCAACAGAATAATACTCAGCTATAAAAAAAGATGAACTCTTGCCATCTGCAACTACATGGATGGAGCCAGAGTGGATATTAAGTAAAATAAGTTCGATGAGAAAGACAAATACTGGATGGTGTCATTTATATATGGAATGTGAAAAATAAAAGATCAGACAAAGCCAAATCAATAACAAACCCTAGAAATCTGACTGTGGAATTGAGGCTATAACATGGAAAGGATGAGCTGGGAAAACAAAGTGTGGAGGATTCATAGTGGACTTTGGTGTAGGGCTGAACGTGCCATTATGGTAGAAGCAGCGACATGTTATTCTTCCAGGTATGTGAGAGAATTTTCCTTATTGTTTACTCAGTTGAACCTAAAGTTCTAAAACCTTCAGGCTTACTCAAAAAACATAACCATTAAATGGGAATCTCTGTAGCACTTTGTGTGAAGATTTTCCAAATAATTCACCAGGCTTTTCATTTCAACCTTGCAATTCTTTCTATATACACTCATATTTCATTAGTTTAGGTCATAATTAAACTAAAAGTTACATTAGCAATGGCATAAAAACAAGATGCTCTTATTAGGCATTTTAACTAAACCAGTGGGGTAGAGGGGTGGAGATACAAGAGTAAATTAAAGAGTAGTTCACTAGCTTTAAGGATTCAGAATACTCCAGACTACAGCAATTGAAGGCAATTTTAAAAGAGCATGCCAGTTAACTGGAGGTTCGTCAAGAACATGTCACAAACACATTTCAGAATATCATAGACTCTGTATATAACAAAGAGACATATACCTATTACCAGAATCAAAGATGTAAGGGTATTAGTCTATTTAGTCTCAACTCCAGTCAACTCCAATCACAATGGTAAGAGACTATGGAAATTATAAAGAACCCCTACTTAACTGTCATTTTTTACACTAATAAATTGAGAATACTGACAAAGCTTTGAATTCAATTTTTCAGGTAATACAGACAAAATGTATTATTGAGTTCCAGTTTATTGTATACTATAATAACTGTAGCAGTTGTATTCCCTTTTAAGAAGCAGGCAAATTATTTCAAACACAAATTTATCAGAAACTTTGAAACAATTATTCAATATTAAAACAAAGATCCTTGATAGAATTCATCATACACATCTAATTTTCTTCCAAAAATACTTAATGACCTCTACTATCTGTCAGGTAATAAAGACAACTCAATGGAAATGTCCATAAGAAGAATAAACTCAGAGAATGTATTTATGGATTAATAATTCCAATTGTAAAAGAATCATATTTTCAAATTGTTTCCTACGGCATTATAAAGCACCAAAGAAAGCAAAATTACAAATGGTACTAATATTCATGTTTTAATGGTAAAATTTGTTCACTATGAAATGTATTTAATATTCATTATATATAATTTATGTTTACCTAACACATAGGTAAATCAAATGTCTTGGTAGACTGCTAAGAACAGGAATTCTTTTTTTTTTTTAAATAAACACTTTATTTTTTTTTATTTTTTTATATAGAGGCATGTTTTATTTATTTATTTGTTTGTTTGTTTGTTTGTTTATACATGCACTGGGTACAGTCAGAAGCGCGGGAGGGTGAGAGAATTCACCAGAGCCAGAGTGGGGAACAGAACAGGCAGAGTGATGAAATACACTGCTGAGGGGAGCAGCGGGCGGCAGGAGAGGTCTGTGTGCCATGTGGGACCCTCCTCTGGTGGCCGGGGAGCAGCCGGGGATTGAACCGGCGCTGCAGAGGCCGCGGGCAGCTTCGCAACCCAGCGCTCAACCGCTGCGCCACCAGGGAGGCCCCAGAACAGGAATTCTTAATCTCGCGCCTACAAATCAGTGGATCAAATGAGGAGAATACATGAACTTAAAATGGGAACAAAATTTCATCTTTATTTTGCCAACTTTGAAGTTTAGTATTTCCATAATTAAAAAATGTAGGCAACAAGTCACAGTGACATTGCCTTCTACCTATCATTGTTACTATTAGAAACCACAGATACTTTTAATATCACTTTAGTTGCTCCAAATCTAATTATTATTTATGCTCACTAGTAATTTAAAAATTACTACATACCACTAGACTTTATTAATATGCACATTACTGAATTGATTATTTTAAAAACTATTTTAATATAACATGCTTTCATAAGCATTTCTACTTAATTTTGAACAATTAAAATATTATTTTAAGAAGGGATTCACATGAGTTGCCAGAGAGTCAAAGGACTGCAAAAAAGAGTAAGAAACCCTGAGTAGTCTGTTTGCTAAGAGTAAAAACTAAAAAATGTCTCAAAGCAAATTTACTTGAAATTCCTTATTTTAAAGATAAGAAACGGTTACCTGGTGGAATAAGTACCTTGTTCAAGGTCACAAACATAGCTAATTAATAACAGAACCAGAAAAATAGAATCCATGTTTTCTGGCTCACAATTCAAGGTTAAATCAACTATGATGTGACTTGGCTGTAAGAATTCAAGACAGGGCAAAGACAACTCTGCATATACATGCCAAAAATTTATTAGGGAAAAAAAAATTATACAATGGAAGAGTTACTTTGAAAAATCAAATGACGGGATGAGGTGTTAAATCATTATGAAAATAAAATTCTACAGC